CCTTTGCTGTCCGCCTGAAGCTATCACAACATTGTTAATAGGCTATGGTCCCATAAAAAAAAAAAATAAATAACAGAGTCAAAACAAAGGAAGGAGTCCATGGAACATGCTGAAGTCCTGAATAAGACACTGAACAGAAATGAGGGCGAGGGGATGGATAACCAGGAGACATAATTTATAACAGGGGTAAGTGGCTGGGTAAGTAAGCAGGAGTAAGGAGTTTAAACTGTCTGATGGCTGACTTGTGTAGGTAGGTGGGTGGCAGTTGCCATTATGAGGTAATGAAGCCAGGAAGATGAACAGGTTTGGCGGGGACACTGGAGAGAGAGAGAGTCTGGCCTGGAGCTCAGTTAAATATATCACAGGAAAAAATCTCAAATAATGAAAGTTCTCAAATAATAGATTGAGTTATGGCAAAAAATAGCCCTCTGTTTATCCCTGTGGGTGGAGGGGAATCTTGGTGACTTCATGTAAACATTCTCCACTCCAAAGTGGCTCTTTTCCAGAACGAAGGCACAGACTGTATTCTCCCCATAAATCAGCCTACTCAAAACTTGTGATCTCCCAGAAATACGAGGGACCTTGATTTAGCATTTGCCTTGAAACAGGTGAGATCTGAGAAGGAAGCAGAAATTACCCAAAGATGTAGGAGTGGGCGTCCGTGGTTGGGTATTGAATATTCTGGGGAGTTTCTGGTTTTTTGGCTGTGCTGCAAGGCATGGGGGACCTCAGTTGCCCAACAGGGATGGACCCCTCACCCCTCCATGGAAGCATGGAGCCTTAATCACCAGACTGACAGGGAAGTCCCCTGGTGAGCTTTTTGAGATAAGTAAATCAAAATCTATGTTCTAGTTATGTTGATTTTGTGACTATATACATATATTCACGATGGGTGCTTTTTTTTTTCTGAATTTGTGGAAATTTCAACCCACTTCAGATGAACTAAATAATAATTATATAAAAATATCATTTAATGGCATCTGATACCCAAACTTGAGCTCTTTGTTGCTAGGCTAAGTCTTCAGCAAGGTTTTGTAATGACTGAATAAATGAATGAAGGAATAAGTGAGCCCATGTGGGAGAATAAGTAGCATCCACAGTTAGAAAACAGATCGAATCTTGAGAGATTAAGCATTTTCCCAATATAAACAACATCCTGCACTGCTCCCTATGCTGTATTTTGGTGTAAATTTTATAGGCACACACTTTGGTTGATTGAAGAACAAGATTTGGCAAAGGGAGTGTCTCCTGGATTTCAACCCACATGTGGCCTCTAGACCAAGTGCCTTGATGCAGGGCACAGCCTGTATACAGTAGGTAAATTGTAAGGATGTGATCCTTCTCAGGCCTTCTCACTTTACATACTTGTCTCTCCCACTAGGGATCATACTGCTCTTCCAATGAAGGACAGCTTTCCATCCCCCATTAAATAACAGCAAAAAATCAGCAGGATTTCCAAAGTCACTTGTGAAAACAAAGATAATCACATCTTTCCTCTGTGTTGATGCTGTTTGGGAAATAATCAGTCTTAAGAGGAGCTGCAGTGTAAATTTATGAATAGGTTAGGAAATAGCGATGATGGTTGAGAAGTGAATCAAAAGATAACAGACGAAAATGAGAGATGATAAAGTAAATAAAAGGTCAGAAAATAGAGATGCTGAGAGTGGGGAAGAGACTGCAGTGCTTAAGACCCATATCCTTGAACTCAATACTTCTCAACTTTCTCCTTGTTAGAGAAATCATATACTGCTCTATTCATTCACCCTTTCCCTTATTCATGAGACATCTCTTGATCACATGTCATATTCCAGGCACATCAAAAAACATCAGGCATAATTTAATCAATAGTGCATGGTCTCAGTCTTCAAAAAAGTTCAAAAGCCTCTAAGAAGGCCTTTGTGAACACACAGTTTCACTGCAACATCATTTGAAAAGCCTTAGGAACACAGTTGTCATGGGAGCCCAGAAGAGATCATAAATAACTTTCCTGACTGTGTTAGGAAGGCATATTTCATCTGGATGTTCAAGAATGAGAAGGAACTTTTAAGTTGAAAGAATGGAGGAAGCAGTCAAGGCAAAGGGAGCCGTATGTATCACAAAGCTTCGGAACTACACAGGGTCACGGAATGTTTATCGAACAGGGAGACTTACATCGGACAGGATGAGGCCTGAAGGGTATGGTGAAAGGTAAGCCTGGAGAAGCAGGTTGGGGCCACAGACAAAGTAATGCACGTGATTAAGACCTAAGGTGGGGAAACACCTTTACTAACTGCCTATTATGCATATAGTGATCCCAAAACAATCTCGTGTCACCCTTCTTTCAGGAAAAGAACTGTTCATGTTAAGGCTGGAATATACCTTATGGCTTCTTGGCTTTAAAGCCACATAGACTTGAGTTCAAATCCTGACTCTCCCACTGACTGTGGAAATGTCCTGAGATCTGGAGTCTTTATATGTATAACAAAAATGATGGAACCTCACAAAACTAACTTGATGATGATGAGTTGGCCCATAGAGCACCTTGTACACAGGATACACTAAAAAAAATGTGTTACTCTCTCTCCACTTAATTTAGCCCAGACTTTCTTCAGGAGGAGCATACTTGCCAAATAATGTTAATAAAAAAACAAAACAAAACAAAACTCATTTTTGAAGGTTTTTCGAGAAGGAAATCTCACAACCTACTCTGTATCTAGACTCTAATAGGCAATTCCTTCAAACTGAATATTCTAAGACCACCTAAGCCACTTTTGTGCTGCCCATTAATACAATGAAAAGAGTTCCACACAGAAGGGCAGTTCTTAATCTTCTGGAAAAGTCTGTGGGTCTTCAGTCTCTGCTGTCACAGTATTGACCTGTGAATCTTGCTGAAGATCAGAAGAAACAGTGAACCCAGAGGAACATTAGCATCAGCACACTGTTCCAGGGCTCTGGATGACTGCGCAGAGTAAGATGCAAATCCAGGGCCTCACCCCTCCTTTACACGCTGATCTTGATCCCTCAGAGTGTTTCTCACCCTCATCTGTTCCTTAACAACAGGCAGAACGTGATTTTTCAGTATGGGCCACCCTGAAACGTTTAGTCACATTGGTAATCACTGAATGACTCTCATCCTGTTAGGTAAACTAACTTTAGAGTCATTGAATGTGACAATGAAAACACATCTTTGAAAGCAGCATTTCCCAAGGGGGTCAGAGAAAGTGTACAAAGGCAGAATGAACAGTAGGGCCTGGACTGGTTCTAGCAGATGCAAATCCCTTCTTACATCAGTGAATCTAGAAAAGTGAGTCTAAAGAGTTGATATTGCACCTCTCTGAATAACTTCATTCATTATATATATTTATATATATATATATACACATACAACCTACACATATGAAAGTGCTTTATGTGTAGGCTTGCATGTAGATCTAGATATATCTAAAGTTGCTTTAGATTTTGAAGATGGAGGGTTCATTGTATTCACTAAAACAATTCAGAGCTCACTCCGAGTGGAGTATGGAAAGAAAATCTCTGAACTTTTATATTTTATTGAAGAGAAGGAAGGCAGGTAGCTCTTATCCCTGTGAGTCTTAGTCGTTCAGTCATGTACAACTCTGCAATGCCATGGACTGTAGTCCACCAGGCTCCTCTGTCCATGGAATTTTCCAGGCAAGAATACTGGAGTGGGTAGCCTTTCCCTTCTCCAGGGGATCTTCCCAACCCAGGGATCTAACCGGGCTCTCCTGCATTGCAGGCAGATTCTTTACCATCTGAGCCACCAAGGAAGCCCAGAGGTATACACATAGGAAAGAGAACTAATATGTCTGAGAATTTACTATAAGCCACTCAGATTCTAATCAATTCACTTAATTTTTATAATAACTTTATAAATTGAGTAGCTATTACTGTCACTCCCGTATTAGGGAAGAGAAAACAGGAGCATGGACTGGTCAAGAGACTTGTCCACAATTACACAGCAATGTCGAACTTAGGTGTAGGAAGGCTGCTTGGGGATCCAGTTTCTTAATGAGCATTATGCAACACCACCACTTCAAAGTATTGTGTATGTACTCCATATATTCCAATTAAAACCTTGCTTATTTTTCTTCATACTAAATCCTTCCTATTCTCAAAGTCATAATAGCAAGAAGTGCAGCATCTTACTCTTGGAGAAGCCTCCTTTCCCCCAAAGAAGTTTAAATCCCTGGAGAAAAAAAAAAAGAAAACTTTATCTCTTATTTCCAAACTTAAGCAGGACATGAGAATCAACACTGCTTCTCATAGCCACTTGGAGTTACTACTTAACATGGGAATGGAGTTGGAAAAATATAATTGGTCAGCTCTTGTTCATGCCTGTCTCAAGCCCCTACAGAGAATGCTATGGTGTTTTTTGTTTTTTTTTTTTTTAAAGCGTGCTAAGGCTTCTTCAGTGATAAACTTAGCCAAGAAAGTGCCACTTTAAACAACTAATGATTTGAGGGCTTTGCGCCCATGCTCTCTTAGACATTTGTTATTATCATCAACTTTAACTTGTCTTTCCTTGGAAATAACTTAATGCAAGAGCCTCTGTCCCCTGGTCCTTGGTCAAGAGCTAAAAGGGAAACTCTGATAGATGTGATTTGCATAGGCAGTCTTGTTTGCTGCATGCCCCAAATAATGGGGGCAACTTCCACACCAAGCCTGAGGTTTGACTCTAAAGACTCACCATGGCCCATAATCTCAAAGCCAACTACTTCTTCTGGTGCTCAATAAAATAAACAATGATCTCTTCCAATGCCTGGGGATCAACTTTCTACCCAGGACTTGCCTAGTAAGCCTTGCACTCAGTGGGTGGATCATCATTGTGAGGCTTTCGTAGAGGAATTTCAAGGGTAAATGTCAACCTAGAGTTAGAAGTAAATGCTCTATAACATAGCCTGTGCTGATTCCTAAGGTCGGTACAGAATGAAATAAGAAAGGGGAGCTATCTGTGTAAGCATGTCTTCTTTAAGCCTCTAACAGTTCTCTCTGACTCACAGGACGTCTTCAGAGCCATGCACCCAGACCCTGACATTGTGCAGTTGTACCTTAAACCACTGCTCATTGGAGAGCTTGCTCCAGAAGAGCCCAAACAGGAGAGAAACAAAAATGTGAGTGAAGTCTCAGGACTCAAGAGTATGCAGAGGGATGGGGACGAGGTATATTTCAGGGCCAACTTATCATTTTCTGTGGGAAACCAGCCATCATGTCTGGGAGGGCCTGCAATAGCTTAAATAAGAGGATTCCAAGTATTTCAAAATAATGTCATCCTCCTGAGATCCTCAGAATTCTTAAACCTCTGAGAAACAAAGGAATGAAATGCTTGGCCCTGTGTCAAACAGTAATTCCATGTGTCTAACTACCTACTTTTTGCCATGCAACTTACACATAACTTTTCTTTTTCCATGTCTGCTTATAATTGTTTGATGTTCCCTGTTAAACCAGTTTCCATGAGAGCAGAGACTGTCAATTTTGCTCATCCCTGAGTCCTCAGTACCTATCAGCACAGGATTGGACTTGTAGTAGGAATTCCATAAATAGCTGTTGAATCAATGATGTGACTATATCCTAACTATAGTTCTTTTTACAATTGGAGAAATTACAGTTCCAGGAGAATAAACTACCTTCTGAAAAGCAAAGAATAGGAACTCCAGTTCACCTCTTTCTGGCTCCAAACCTTTGGATATTCCCCATGAAAAGCACCATTTTTCTTTCACCAAGAATTTAGTTTACTGAAAAACTGTCTTCAGAGAGCAGGGCCTCCATAACACTAGAATTCACTAGAATGGTTGCACATAAAGCTTAAAGGGATTTTAGCCAATATTAAGCACTTCATTTTTTTTTTTTTTTTTGCACTTCATGTTTTAAAACAGTTTACAATTGTACCATTCTTTGAAATACTTTGTACAAAGTGGTGATCCAGATATCACTGTGAGGCAGAAAGAAAAAATTATATTTCCACTTTAAGAAATGAAGAAACAAACTCACAAGGGGATAGGAGGAATCTGAGGAAAGAGGACTGGTTACATGCAGGCCCAAGACAAATACTTATGCTGACACCTTAGGCCCATGTGCATCCCTCAAGGCTGTGTGTCAGTAAATAAAGCACTGTTTTGAGATGAGAGGACCCTCAGGCAGACAGCCTGGACACAGAGCCCGGTTCCTGTGACAAGGTGTAGGAGCCGAGATGCTGTTGTTCGGTCAGTAAGTCACGTCTGACTCTATGACCCTGTGAACTGCAGCACGCCAGGCCTCCATGTTCCTTCACTATCTCCCAGAGTTTGCTCGAACTCATGTCCATTGAGTCCATGATGCCATCCAACCATCTCATCCTCTCTCCCTCTGCTCTTCCTGCCCTCAACCTTTCCAGGCACCAGGGTCTTTTCCAATGAGTTGGTTCTTTCATCAGGTGGCCAGTGTATTAGAGCTTCAGCTCAACCATCAGTCATTTCAATGAATATTCTGGGTTGATTTCCTATAGGACTGACAGGTATGATCTCCATGCTGTCCAAGGGACTCTCAAGAGTTTTCTCCAACACCACAGTTCAAAAGCAACAATTCTTTGGTGCTCAGCCTTCTTTCTGGTCCAACTCTCACATCCATACATGACTAATGGAAAATCCATAGCTTTGACTATATGGACCTTTGTTGGCAAACTAATGTCTCTGCTTTTTAATAATAATAAGCTATCTAGCCCAAGAAAATAAAGTCTGCCACTGTTTCTATTTTTTTCCCCATCTATCTGAATGAAGAGATTGGACTGAATGTCATGATCTTCATTTTTTGAATGTTGAGTTTGAAGCCAGCTTTTTTACCCTCCTCTTTCAGCTTCATCAACAGACTCTTTAGTTCCTATTAACTTTCTGCCATTAGAGTGGTATGATCTTCTTATCTGAAGTTGTTGATATTTCTCCCAGCAATCTTGAGTCCAGGTTCTGCTTCATTCAGCACAGCATTTCACATGATGTACTCTGCATATAAATTAAATAAGCAGGGTGACAATATACAGCCATTGATGTACTCCTTTCCCAATTTTGAACCAGTCCATTGTTTCAAGTCTGGTTCGAACTGCCGCTTCTTGGCCGGCATACAGGTTTCTCAGGAGACAGGTAAGATGGTTCTAGTACTCCCATCTCGTTAAGAATTTTTCACGGCTTGTTGAGATCCACAGCAGATCAGAAGAAACAGTAAATGCAGAGGAATATTAGATTAGTCAGTGAAGCAGATGTTTTTTATTTTTATTTTTTGGAATTCTCTTGCTTTGATTTTTGGTTCCTCTGCCTTTTCTAAATCCAACTTGTATATCTGGAAGTTCTCAGTTCATGTACTGTTGAAGCCTAGTTTGAAGGATTTTGAGCATTACCTTGCTAGCATGTGAAATGAGAGCAGTTATGTGGTACCTTGAATGTTCTTTGGCATTGCCTATCTTTGCGATTGGAATGAAAATTGATTTTTCAAGTCCTGTGGCCACTGTTGAGTTCTCCAAATCTGCTGGCACATCGAGTGTAGCACTATAATAGCATTATCTTTTGGAATTTGAAGTAGTTCAGCTGGAATTCCACCACCTCCATTAGCATTAAATCACCTCTCTTAGCATCGATGCTTTCTAAGGCCCACTTGACTTCACACTCCAAAATCTGACTCTAGGTGAATGACCATACTGTCGTGGTTATCTGGATCATTAGAGCTTTTTTGTATAATTCCATTTATTCTTGCCACATCTTCTTAATATCTTCTTTTCTGTTAGGTCTTTACCCTTTCTGTCCTTTATTGTGCCCATCTTTGCATGAAATATTCCCTTGACATCTCCAATTTTGTTGAAGAGATCTCTAGTTTTTTCCATTCTATCATTTTCCTCTACTTCTTGCTTTGTTCACATAAGAATGCTTTCTTATCTCTACTTGCTAATCTCTGGAAGTCTGCATTCAGTTGGGCATATCTTTCCTTTTCTCCTTTGCCTTTCACTTCTCTTCTTTACTCAGCTATCTGTAAGGCCTCCTCAGATACCATTTTGCCTTTTTGCATTTCTTTTCCTTGGGGATAATTTTGATCATCACCTCTAGTACAATGTTACGAACCTCCGTCCATAGTTCTTCAGGCACTCTATCAGATCTTATCCCTTGAATCTATTTCTCATTTCCACTGTATAACCACAAGGGATTTACTTTATGTCATACCTGAATGGCCTGGTGGTTTCCTCTACTTTCTTCAATTTAAGTCTGAATTTTGCAATAAGGAGTTCATGATCTGAGCCATAATCAGCTCCCAGTCTTGTTTTTGCTAATATATAGAGCTTCTCTATCTTTGGCTGCAAAGAATATAATCGATCTGATTTCAGTATTGACCATCTGGTGATGTCCATGTGTAGAGTCATCTATTATGTTGTTGGCAGAGGGTGTTTGTTATGACCAGTGTGTTCTCTTTGTAAAACTCTGTTAGCATCTGCCCAGCTTCATTTTGTACTCCAAGGTCATGCTTGCCTATTACTCCAGGTACCTTTTGACTTCGTACTTTTGCATTCTAATTCCCTATGATGAAAAAAAGCTAAGCGATGAAGAATTGATGCTTTTGAACTGTGGTGTTGGAGACGACTCTTGAGAGTCCCTTGGACTGCAAGAAGATCCAACCAGTCCATCCAAAAGGAGATCATTCCTGAATATTCATTGGAAGGACTGATGCTGAAGCTGAAACTGCGATAATTTGGCCACCTGATGTGAAGAACTGACTCATTTGAAAAGACCCTGATGCTGGGATAGATTGAGTGTGGGAGGAGAAGGGGATGACAGAAGATGAGATGGTTGGATGGCATCACCACCTAAATGGACATGAGTTTGAGTAAGCTCCGGGAGTTGGTTATGGACAGGGAAGCCGAGCATGCAGCAGTCCATTTGGCCACAAAGTGTCAGATATGACTGAGAAACTGAACTGAACTAATGATGAAAATGACATCTTTTTTTGGTGTCAGTTCTAGAAGGTCTTGTAAGTCTTCAGAGAACCATCCAACTTCAGCTTCTTGAGCAATAGTGATCAGAGCACAGACTTGGATTACTCTGATACTGAATGGTTTCCCTTCAAAATGAACAGGGATTATCTTTCATTTTTGATTTTTGCACCCAAGTACTGTATTTTGGACTCTTTTGTTGAATAGCACACTTGTGTGATCTATTAAAGTTATCTATGGCCACCAGAATTCTGATGTTCATGGGGCCTTTAGAGATGAGCCCATCCAGACCTTCCCCAGACACTGGATCATTTAAAAGTTTTATCAGTGAATTTTGAAATGAATTTTCTTGCTTCTAGGATTATGTTCATAGCTCTTTTCTATTATTATTTCAAATTTCTCTTCTCTTTGACATCTGAACAATCAAGTTTTCATTCTTATACCCTGGTCACCTTTTCAACAGTCTGAGTTTCAAATACATTATAGTTATTAAGCTAAGGAGATATTTCTTCCCAGGCCTTTCACCGACTCTGGAGTATGTGCAAGTTTGTAAGTCAGTGCTAGTACGTGACGTACATACATAGGCACAGTACTTGTACACAGAATCAGGACTCCTCCAACCAATGGACACACACGCTAATTCCACAGGAGACCCTGTCTCATTCCTGTAGCGCTTCTGAGCATCTTTCAGGAAATTCATTCTTTGAGCTAATCTAAGTGAACTCTATCTTTCGTAAAGGAATCTTTTGCACACGCTAAATAGCTGATAACATAGAAAGTGGCACAGATCTGTATAGATAGCAAAGTTCCCCAAAGTATAATCAGAGATCAAACAACACATTGATTTAAAAAGGTGACTATTATTAATAGATACACACTTCTACATATAAAACAGACAAACAGCAGGGATCTATTGTTTGGCAGGGATCTATACTCAGTATCTCACAATGGTCGACAGTGGAATAGACTCTGAAGAAACAATATGTGTATATACATCATTTGCTGTACACCTGAAACCAATGCAACATTGTTCATCAACTACACTTCAATAAATCCTTTTGTTTTGAAAAGTAGAAAACTACTTTTGGGGGGTTTCCCTGGCAGCCCAGTCATTAAGACTTCTTCTTTCAATGCAGGGGATGCAGGTTTGATCCCTCGTCAGGGAACCAAGATCTCACATGCCTCACAGCAAAAAATAAATAAATAAATAAATAAATAAAATAAAAGCAATATTGCCACAAATTCAATAAAGACTTCAAAAGAAATGATCTGCATCAAAAATTTTTTTTAATTAATCAGTTTTAAAAAGAGAATTGTTAGAGTTATGGATCTGTTCACTGAACCTCCCCCATCCCCCCAAAAAGAAGTAAATTATATGTCCCATAACAATATGAGGACAGTTTACAAATCACTACTCATCTGTCTAGGAAAAAAACAAAATATTATCATAACTTGTTTTAAGCATTTTGCTTTTTGTTATTTTTTTGTTTCATTTTTTTTGTTTAAATTATGCCTAATTATATTTACTAAGTAAATAAATGTCTGTTCATAAAATTAAGGTATCATACATTGATAAAATAGGTTAATAATTATGTTCATCTGTGCTCCCTCTCCATTGAAAGAACTAATTCCTTTCTTGCATGTTTATCTTACAGTCCGGTTGGTGGAAGATTTCCAAGAACTGCGGAAGACATTAGAGACCATGAATTTGTTCAATGCCAACCTGGGGTTCTTCTTCCTTCACCTCGCCCAGGTCTTGATTTTGGAAGCCCTGGCTTTGGTAATAGTGTGGCATTTTGGCAGTGGCTGGCTTGTTACAATATTCATTTCTTGTCTTCTCATGGTTGCTCAGGTAAGTAGGTGTCCTAAGCCCAGGCAGGGGCTCTACGGGAAGCCTCAGAATTTTTTCTTCCCTCTTTACACTGGTGTCAGCGGCCGCCTGGCACTTCCTGACAAGCCACTCATCAACGTCTGACACCAGCAAGTTATCAAAACCCACGGGGCCCCAGTTCTGTCATCTGTAACACGGGGTAATGATTTTTTATGGAAATAATCTGCGGAGAACTAAACGAGCTACTCTGTAGAGCACCTAGCACAGAGACTGGCGTGCGGTAAACACCTTTGGCAGTTGCTACCCGTTGCCCAATGTCACCCGCACGATGTCAGCACCTGGAGCTCCGTTCTGGGCCATGTGACCTTCACCTTTATCTTTCATTCGTTATCCAACCAACATTTTTAATGGTTGTTTAATGATTTGATTAAGACTATAAGAACATATATGAACTTATTTTGTTTTCTTTTTAAATCACTCAGTTGTTTCCAATTTTTTTTTACTGTAACTGGATCCTCTGTCCATGGATTTCTTCAGGCAAGAATACTGGAGTAGGTTGCCATTCCCTTTACCAGGGAATCTTCCTGACCCAGGGATCAAATCCGAATCTCCCACATTACAGGCAGATTCTTTACCATCTTAGCCACCATGAAGAAAGAAAGCCCCACATTAATTTATACCTATATGTGTGTGTGTATATATATGTATAATATATATATAATATATATATCACTGTTTATACATGCTGTTTCATAATAAAAGATTCTACTAAAAAGAAGTTATATATCTGTATTTAAAAAAAAATTCCCTGAGACCCTAACCAAAAGCCTCATTTCAGCAATACTTATCAATACACCGGTCTATGAAGAGAGTCTATTTATTATTACATGATAATAAAACCATGGATTCTGCCAGAAATGGCAATCAGCAACTGGCGTGTAGCAGGGCAATTGATAAATCCTTTGAATGAAGCACAGACCTCTGAAGAGGGCCTTCTATGCCCACAACACTGTACTGTGGACATAAGGGAAACGCACCTGACCCTGCACTTGGGCAACAGTCATCCAGTGAAGTAGATGGTCGTTTAAATATCTAGACACAATACAAGGCAGAGGGGAAAGAAACAAGCATGTGCTGCTGGAGCAGAAAGAGGCATCTAATTCTAATTGAGGCAACTGGGGATGATTTCATGGAGAATTAACATAAATGTTAATTATAAAATTTTATATGCTATTTTTTTTCTTGAAAAGTCAACTTGCTTTATTCTTTGAAAATCAACTTTTGGAATCAAGAAAGAAACAAACATTTGATGGCTTAGCATTAACAGGAATTTGTATTTTGGCTGCAAGACAACTGAATGAGCAAGGTATAATGTTATAATCACTGCTTCTCAGACAAAGAACTGAGTTCAGAGCTACCAACTAGCTTGGCAAGAGTTGTATAACTTGTAAAGTGGTGAAGGACAGTTCAGAGCCCTAGTCAGCCTGACTCCAAAGGCATCCTCCTTCCAGTCCACACTGGACGATTCTGACAGTGGAGAGAACATTCTAGGCTTAGAGAGCCACCTGTGCAAAGGTACAGGGATGGGAAAGCACTCAACAAGTGTGACAGATACAGAGATCTCCACTGTTCTCATGGGGTCCTGAACCCACCAGCGGCCCACTTACTGCTTTCTTCTTTCCTTGTCAACTTCTCTGTCTGCAACCCTGTCTCTTCCAGGCTCAGGGTGCATTTCTGCAGCATGACATGGGACACTTTACCATGTTTAAGAAGGCCAAGTGGAACTGCCTGATGCAAAACTTTGTAGCGGGTCATCTCAAGGTACAGAATGTTCCAGGAGTATGATGGGATTCTGAAAGTCATTTCACTAAGCAGTGGTTTCTACATACACTTATCAGCAAAAATTGTTGCCACACACCACACAAGTAAATGTAAATATACTAACAATGTAGTGACTATATATATAAATATGTATATATATACATATAATGTTATAACATAAATTAGAATTTTGAATGTTTAGAAGAAAAGGTTTATTTTTATTTAAAAAATTCTGTTTTTTCCTTAGCCAATAAACTATTTGGCCCAATCCCTGATACACCATTAAAGAACTACCCCTCAGGAGATATACCCTATAAAGTCATGAGTAGGGATATTCTTAGAAGGGGTCTGGACATGTACCTCTGGGAGGCTAGGGGAATCCAGCAAACCGTTTTAGTCCTGGGAGGACTATGTATAAATAAAAGAAAATATGCAGAATAGAGAAAAGTTTAACAAAAGAGAGAAACCACAGAAAGTTAGATGGCTCTAACTCTTTCCTAAGAGTTGAGGGCTGCAAAGCCCAGACTGCCGGAAAAAGCAGGGGCAGTTGGCCTTACCCCCCTCACATGTGCTCCAGGAGGCAGGCACACTGTCCTATGCACCCCTGAGATGCAGCGCCTAGCAGAGTGCCTCACACGCAGTAGGCCTTCCGTAAGCATCTGTGGAATGCATGAAGGAGTGGATGGAGGAATGGGATGAGGGATGGAAACCTGATAACACGACAAGGATTGATGAAAGTTGGTTTCAGCCCTGGCCCTGATAATGCTCACTGTGCAACCCCGAACAAGTCAGATTCCATCTCTGGCTCTCAGAGTTCTCATCTCTAACATTAGGACTTTAACTGGATCTCAGCTTTTCTATGATGTTCTAGGATTTGGTGAGAAACCAAATGACAGAATGATCTCTGTTCATTTCCAAGGCAAACCATTCAGTATCACAGTAATCCAAGTCTAGCTAACTCTGCTAGCCTTTGCCCTGCTTCATATTGTACTCCAGTATTTTTGCCTTGATAACCCCATGAACAGTATGAAATGGCAAAAAGATATGACAGTGAAAGATGAACTCCCAGGTTGGTAGTTATCCAATAGGCTACTGGAGAAGAGTGGAGTAATAACTCAAGCAAGAATGAAGAGATGTAGCCAAAGTGAAAACAATGCCAAGCTATGGATGTGACTGGTGGTGGAAGTAAAGTCCAACGCTGTAAAGAGTGATATTGCATAGCAACCGGGAATGTTAGGTCCATGAATCAAGGAGAATTGGAAGTGGTCAAACAGAACATGGCAAGAGTGAACATCGACATTTTAGGAATCAGTGAACTAAAATGGGCCAGAATGGGCGAATTTAATTCAGATGGCCATTATATCTACTACTGTGGGCAAAAATCCCTTAGCAGAAATGGAGTAGCCCTCATAATCAACAAAAGAGTCCAAAATGCGGTACTTGGATGCAATCTCAAAAATGAAAGAATGATCTCTGTTCATTTCCAAGGCAAACCCTTCAATATCACAGTAATCGAAGGCTATGCCCCAAACATCAGTGCTGAAGAAGCTGAAGTTGAATGGTTCTTTGAAGATCTACAAGACCTTCTAGAACTAACACCAAAAAAAAAAAGGTGCCCTTTTCACCATAGGGGACTGGATGCAAAAGTAGGAAACCAAGAGACACCTGGAATAACAGGCAAGTTTGGCCCTGGAATGAATGAAGCAGGGCAAAGGCCAACAATTTTGCCAAAAACACACTGCTCACGGCAAACACCCTCTTCCAACTTTATCACTCCTGCATATATTCCAAATATTTTCACTTTAACATGAAAGAAATATAAAAATTATCAATATATCTTACATTTCTTTTTTCATTCTGAGGCTTTGAATCTAGTATGTATTATACACTTACACAGCCCACCTCAGTTTGAATGGTCACATATTAAGTGCTCAGTGGCCACACGTAGATAATGGCTACTATATTGAGCACTGCAGATCTAAAATACATATTAATCAATTTTTGAGACATGTAAAATATGCAGTAAAAGCTATGACTATTTATTATTCTTCTATAAATGGTTAATGTAATATGGGAAAGGAAGAGAAATTGAATATCTCAATATACCAGCATTCTACATACAGCGCCTCATGTCTCCTCAAATATCCCATGCAGGTAAATGTCATTATATTATACTATGTTTACTGAAGATGAAATTGAACATCAAAGGGTAGATAATTTTCTCAAACCACACAGAAGCATTTATCCACCCAGTAGATGCAACTAAGTTGATGTGCTTCCAAATCCTTTTCTCTGTTAAAACCTTCAGATTTTCACTGAAAGAGAAAAAAAAAAAAAACCCAAACAACTTAATCAGAGATGGTATGAGCTCAGCATCAACTAAAATAGTTTTATTCTCTGTTATGTTTAATGAGATCATTGAAATTTGAACATGTGATGATCAGAGGCAAGCCCCCATAGGAGATGACTTCAGATCCATGACTCTTTAAAATATTCATTGAAATAGGAACCCTGGGGCCATTTTTTCCCCCCAGAAATAATTAGTTTTAGAGCTGAAGTTTCTTTGTTTATAAAATAAGAAGTGTACTCTCTGCTCTACCTATTTCACATCTCTTTTTAAAAGGAGGAAAAAAAAAAAAAGAAGAAAGATGGAAAAACATTTAAGCGGTTTTTATTCTCCTTCATTATCAGGAGTTGTTTGAGCCTGGAATTTGTGTTCCTGGATAATTATTTGCTGGTAGGCTTTTAGAGCCTCTAGCCAATAAATCATTCTGTGACCCAAGAATGGGAGACGGCATGTTCCAGGAATCCATATCCTAATTAAACTTTGGAGATGTAGTCAGAAAACTCTGATTGTTACTATTCAGGCATTAGTCATGTCCGACTCACTGTGATCCCATGAACACAGCACAGCAGGCTTCCCTGTCCTTCACCAGTTCATAAAGTTTGCTCAGACTCATGTCCGTTGAGTTGGTGACGCCATCCAACCATCTCATCCTCTGCCATCCCCTTTTCCTCCCGCCTTCAATCTTTCCCAGGATCAGGGTCTTTTCCAGTGAGTTGGCTCTTCACATCAGGTCAGTATTGGAGCTTCAGCTTCAGCATCAATCCTTCCAATGAATATTCAGGGTTGATTTTCTTTAATTTTGGAAAACTCTGATAATGAAAGATATTTCAGGACAGAAATCTTGCAGCTAATGAATGTTCTCTTCTCCTCAGGGCATATGTGCAAAATGGTGGAATATCCGGGACACCCAACACCATGTCAAAACAAACATCTACTCCAAAGACCCAGATATTGATCAAAGCCCATTTCTTGTTATTGGAGATTTACAACCTGTCAAGGTATGTTTAGAAATCCTAAGCACTAGAGAAATATTTCAGGAAGTGGTTCTTGGAAAGGTCTACACCTTTGTCTTGAGGAGATCAGGCTGGAGATTCTGGCTTCAAGCATATGTTCAGAGCATCTCTTCTTTTAAGTCCAGGATATAGATTTTAAATAAGTGAATCTGGTGTTGTAAGAAAAGAAGAAAATGTGGAATGAATGACTCCATGATCTTAAAAGTCATTCAGGCCAAATTCCTCATAGAAGGTATGGCAGTACATTCAACAACTGCTAAATCACGAAACATCTACATATCTAGTTATATCAACTAATTCTAGCTGTTGGAAGAAACTAAGCTGTTATTTTAATTTAGGATCATTTTGGTTCATTTACACATGAAACTCAGCTCAAATGCCTCATAATACACTTAGGACCTCGCCTCTAATTCAGACTTCTTAAGGAACAGAAAAAGGCAAGCAAACTCCAGGATGTCTCAGCTGTTGACTTTCTTAAATCTCAGTTTAAAAACCAGCATGTAAGGATTATTACCAAGATTTTTAGAGTCCGCTTTCAATATAGAAGGTATAAGGATAAACACAGAAAGGTATCTTTCCTTGAGAGGAAATGAAGGATCCTGAGAATTAAGTGCTTAGGAAGAGGTTTTGTCTCCTCCTGGAAGAATTTAGGAGCTTTCTAACAACAAAGGAATGTAGCTTGGTCAGTTGCTGTGTGGACTTTGTGGTAACCAGAACTGTGCAACTTTCTCAAAATAGGTTTTCCCAGTTTGGGAAGACAACCTTCTTCCAATTAGGAGAAAAAGTCTCCTGCCAAGATATAAAGAAAGAAAGAAACCTTGTAGTCTTCAGTCAGTTGTTCTTCACCATGACTCCACAAACAAGTCAGAGCTCTCTAAAGTTTGTGAACTCGTGCAGTGAATCGCTCAGTCATGTCTGACTCTTTGAGGCCCTATGGACTGTAGCCCACCAGGCTCCTCCACCCATGGGATTTTCCAGGCAAGCATACTGGAGTGGGTTGTCATTTCCTTCTCCAGGGATCCAACCTGGGTCTCCCACATTGCAGGCAGACTCTCTACAGTCTGAGCCACCAGGGAATCCCTGTGAACTCCTCGGCTGATCACTAAACTTATGACATTTTGACTTCTCTCCTCATTCCCTCACAGCAATGGAGATTTGTCTCACTGGAGTTCATGAGGCAGCCTGACTCCCCCCAGAAGTGTCTTCCGTAGAACTGTATCCAGTTCACATGCTGCCTCTTCACAGAGGATGGAGACATCATCACTTCTCCACCATTCTAGAGACATATCCCTCGCGCCTTAGGTTTCTGTATACTTTAACTTCAAAGCAACTGCACAACACATTACTTAAAATCATTTAATCTCTAAAATTCAGTTGTTTAGCAACAAAACTAATTCTGATAAGCCTTAAATGCTTCTGTTCTTCCCATTTTACTGTCAGTCTTTTTCAAAGATTCAATCATTTAACAAGTATTAATTAGATTCTCTAGGGCCAGGTCCTGTTCTCATACTCTGGAAAAGTTAGACTTCTCCTTTGGAGCCATACTCAAAAATCAATCCTTCACCTACATTTGCCAACTCTCCAAAATTTCCCACCGACTCCCTCTTTCAAGTTTCCTACCACTTAAATATCCAGAAGCTTGGGAGTAACTGCAAATAACTATCATTACTTTACCACCATGACATTTATTTTTATTTATGATAGTAAGAGATAGAAGGGTCAAGTCTAATATCCAAATAACAGAAGAAATATGTAGAAGGGAAGGTATCAAAAGAATGGGAAAAGCAAAAAATTAAACACGGTTCACAGTGTTTTAACTGACTGAACATATGGTAAAATTAGAGGAGATTTGAATTATCATTCATTCATTCATTCATTCAACTAAACATTTATTAAGTGTCTCTTAGGTAATAGAGATAAACCATTACTTCTATGCTTCCTCTCAAGATATTTGCTGCCTTTGTGCATTTGGGCACAGACTAGATTAACTAAGAAGACCCCTAGTAAATGACTCAAATTCCCAGTGGTAAGAGTATATATTATCAAGCCTTAGAATGAGTAAATCACAGCATGAGATCCACGATGGAAATAAAGGAGGAAAGATGAAGTAGATACTAGAGGTTATGACTATGTGTTTTATAATACAACCATTCAACAAATATCTTTTACATGGATGAATGGATACAAGCAGACTGTGCTTCAAGCAGAATTCTAAGCACATAGGTTGAAGAAGACCTTAAAAACTTATCAGAAATATTTCTCCTCCATCATCATTCCATTCCACACCAGGACAAATTTCAAAATGGCTCCCATTGGTATAATAATAAACGATCACAATCCCTGAAGTCAAATAGAATGAACCATCCCTGCAAGAATTGCCCACATTTAAATAAAGAAAAAAGACACCACAATATTTCCTCCCCTTTCAGTTCTGCTTCTTCAGTCCCTTCAGTTTGACAGTAAATGAACTCTGACCAGATGGCTCTTTCTATAGAGATTCTACACACCACACACACACACACACACACAACCTTGAGTATAATAAGAGAAGTCTACATTGTTCTTACTTTAGTTTTATTCTCTTCATTCAGTATGGCAAGAACAAAATCAAATTCATCAACTACGAGAAGCAGCACCTGTATTTCCGCATGGGTGAGTCCCAGGGAGCCACAGTCCCTATCATCCCATTTCCTTGAAGCAAACAGTTGTCAACCAGAAGGCACGACTGAAATCCTCCTACAGAGAGACAATCCCATGTCTTGTTGTGTCTCAAAAAAGCAGCATGTTTTATTTCAGACTTACTTGGGTGAAATCTGAAGAGGAAAATAAAAGAGTGATTAGGCATTCTTAATGGGCATCTCATCACTCTGGCTACTGTACAGGGAAGGAGATGTTCCAAGAAGGATGGGAGGCAGGAAGCCAATCAAGGGGTCTGGTATCTGTGACTCTCATCCTGGATAAACTAAGTACAATACTTATCAAGAAGAAAAGGATAGTGGTATATGGATAGGGAGGAAAAAATAGGAAAAGAATGCTCAAGCACTGACAGTAGCTGCCAGAAAAAGCAGAGTCTCATGAATAAAAGTCACCTGCAGAGCTTCTGTGTGGAAGAAAGTTGACTGTTCCCACAGCTTACATACAGCTGGAGAAGATATTTTAGTGGACAGACACACACACACACACACACATATATAAGATAGATCTGGATATGTTCTAGGCTTGAGAGAAAATAGGGTAGCTGAAAAATGCTAATACCAATGAAAATATTAGAAGCAAAAATGTTCTGGTCTTAACCAAGTCAAACTCATGATAGCTCACAAAGAAAAGTTTAGGACCCCAAAATATGCTCGTCTAAAACATGCTTACTCATTTGGAAAAGAAACCCAAATTAGGGAAGATTTCAAACATTTCCTGTAGATTAGTGGTCCTCACCTAAGAGCATAGTTGCTCCCAGTGGGATGTTTGATACCATATAGATACTTTTTTGATTATCACAACAAAGGTGCAGGGGAATGGTACTGACATCCATGGGGCAGAAGCCAGGGATGTTATGAAATGCCGTACAGGACACAGAACAGCCCTGAACAATAAAGAATCATCTGACCCTAAGCTGCCAACAGTGTTAAGATCGAGAAATGGTTGCAGATGATCTGGCTCGCCCAAACATTGGCCACCAGGGGTCATCTGTCTCCTGTCTGACCGGGATGGCCTGTGAGTCTGTTTTCTCAGACCTGAGGCTCAACCACCACTGCAGCCTCTTCCAGTGCTAGAATTCTGAGGACTTATCCTAATGCGGTTATTCTCTTTCATGATCAAAAAGGGTATGGAGGACATTGGTGCCCCAGTTTGAAAGGTAACTATTCCAGCGCAGACAAATGTGTATTCACATGAAAAAAAACGTTGGAGTCTCTTGTCTGAACTCTCCTCCTGTGTGTAGTAAAAAAATACAGCCTTAGCTTATGAGGAATGGGTGAATATTGTAGCTTCACTGCAGAATGCCCAGCTTAAAAACCACATCGTCCTCAGGAGCTGTTTCATTTTGTCATTTTCTTTCAAATGTCTTCAACTTAGTATGACAGGTATAAATGAGTCATACTCAACCTGTCAGAGAGATGAAGCTTGACATTTCCTAAAGGTGGCAAGACAGCTTTCATGCAGATTCCTGTAGTAGGGAAAGGTACTTCAGTATAAGCTGAGCTCAACTCTCAGAAAAGAAAGGTGGGAGACTTTTAAAACACTGGGACATGCTAAAGGAAATTAGGGAAAGTGGATAAAGGGAGGGGAGGCTGGTCATGTGTTTAAGCCATGGGTGTCTTCTCACTGGTGCTTATCAAAGTCAAACTCCTTACCCTTCCGGAGGCTGCAGGACAGAGCCCGATCCTCCAAGATTGTACCTCAAAGGGATGACTCCCAAGTCCTTGAGAAAGACATTTCTGGGTCAGGGAATATCCATCTCAGAGGGACAGAGAAAGAATTTTATGTTTTCTAACAAATGATCAAAGAAAAAGGAGGTCAGAAGCCTACTGAACATGCATTAAGTTCTTTGGACAGTCTTGAACTTTCTCATGCAAGAATTTTAAGGGGGCTGGAGTCATCCCAGGAGCATGGCCTTGAACTGTTCTTAGAAATGATTTCTAGTATTTCTGTGAGTCTCTTAGTGTGTAGGGTGGACAAAATCATCTGTGCTGACAATTCACAGACTTTGAAAGTTTACTGGTCAAGTGTAAAGCCTAGTCAGGAAGGGGACTCCAGAGCATCTGACTCAAGTTTGGTCAAGGAGAGAGTTGTCAAAGTCTGAAGGTTGTCCATATGACTCCTATCTGCTCCAGGCAACTTCAGTGGTCCTGGGAGAGGAGCAAGTAAATAACTATCTGGCCAGACTCAGTATGCCTGCTCTATATCTGCCACCTGGACATATTGTGACAGGGCTCAACACAAAGGATCGTGAAGGACTGAAGGATTCTAGGGACCTTGAGAAAACTTGAAAGCTTAGAGCAGAAGCCCTTCCAGGATGCCTTCATCAGGAATGACTCAGATCTTCAAAGCTTCCCTAGTCTCCCTAAGGCAGCTTGAACCAAAGTCCTGGTTCAGCCACAGAGACTCTAAAAGCCCAGCAACATCCAGGATGTGGTTGTGGATCTCCACCTTGCATCCCTTCCCAGGGGCAATATTCCAGGGTTAGCATGTTAAGATCAACTCCCACTCACTTCCACAGGAATCATATCAGCTAATTTGTTTACCATCTTCTTGGGTTTTTTTTTTTTTTTTTTCAGTTTGGGTCCCCCTTCTTATGCCGGTATATTTCAACCTGAAATCCATTCTAGAGATATACCACGGAAGGGACTGGAAGGTGAGTCACTCGATTCCTTCTCTAAAGCTAGATCAGGCTGGTAGAAAAGGGAAAATGTAAATGCTTGGTTCTTTCCAGATGCAGCTTCCTTGAGTACCAGGATATAAGATTTAGCCAGTTTTATTTCCACTAGCTTAACTTTCAAGCACTTCTTTCTGCAGGACATCACCTGGGTCAGCAGCTCTTACATTCGCTATTTCATCACATTTGGTCCTTTCTATGGAATCTTTGGAACCTTGGTGCTCATATACTTAGTCAAGTAAGTAAACAATAATATTCTCCCACTCTTATTCTGGATGGTCCTCTAACCTTTCTTATGTGAGCTATTTATGATTAGCAATGATTAGCAGATTATGACACGAGACCACATTCTTGTAGCTGAGATATTTCCAAGAAAATGTGGGATAAAACAGCTGAAATAGTTGAGTTTCTTGGAAACTGACTTTTCCCAATAATCCCTTTTTTTCCCACGTGGTTAATTCCCAATTGCACTATACTAGTCCCTCAGTATCTGAGGAGGATCAGTCCCTGGACCCACCTCAGTTACCGAAATCCAAAGATATTCAGGCTCCATAGTCATCTATCCAATATGTGGTTCCTCAACTGTCGATTCAGGCAACCACCAATCTTGTAGTACTGTGTGTTTATTTAAAAATATCCACATTTAAGTGGACCTGCGTGTTTCTCAAAGGTCAACTGTATTCTGCCTGATCACCAAGTCCTTCAAACTGTAATCCAGCTGGACATCATAATTCTTACCGAAGATAGTAGGAGCCCCGTTTTTTTAAAATTATCTTATGATTAGAGATATTCCCCACATCAAAAGGACTTTAGACTGAATAACCCTGCTCCACTTCACAATGTCTTCCTTCCTCATGCATTTGCATTACTATCCATAACAGTAGCGGCGGCTCCTCCGCGTCAGGCCTTTTGCTGAAGGCTTCACTGTGGGCATCCGGCCGCATCACTCTCACAGCGGCAGCGGCGGCTCCTCCCCGTCAGGCCCTTTGCTGAAGGCTTCACTGTGGGCGTCCTGCCGCATCACTCTCACAGCGGCAGCGGCGGCTCCTCCCCGTCAGGCCATTTGCTGAAGGATTCACTGTGGGCGTCCCCCCGCATCACTCTCACAGCGGCAGCGGCGGCTCCTCTGCGTCAGGCCGTTTGCTGAAGCCTTCACACTGTGGGCGTCCCTGGTGGTTCAGACTGTAAAGCACCCGCCTGCATTGTGGGAGACCCGGGTTCCATCCCTGGGTCAGGAAGATCCCCCGGAGAAGGAAATGCCAACCCACTCTGGTATTCTTGCCTGGAAAATTCCGTGCATGGAGCAGCTGGTGGGCTACAGTCCACGGGGTCACAAAGAGTCAGACATGACTGAGTGACTTCACTTCCTTTAGATGCATTATCTTATTTGATGTATAAACAATGCACAACCAGGCAACGTAGATAGTATCAACTTCACTTTTCTGGTAAGAGAACTAAAGTTCAGAGACACTTACTCAAGAGCAAATAAGGGCCAGTGGCAGTGCCAAATCGCAACTTGTACCCAGTTCTATCTGATGACAACAGCCTAGCTGTTAATCACATTGCATATATCCTTAAGTCGTTGTTGCTTTAGTCACAAAGTCATGTCTGACTCTTGTGATCCCATGGACTGTAGCCTGCCAGGCTCCTCTGCTCTGGGGGTTTCACAGGCAAGAATACTGGAGTCGGTTGCCATTTCTTTGTCCAGGACATCTTCCTGACCCAAGAATCAAACCTGGATCTCCTGCATTGGCAGATGGAATCTTGACCGCTGAACCAGCAGGGAAGCCTGACCTTCAGTTATCTGGTTATTTTCTGAGCCTTGCACCAAGGCCTTCAGAAAACACTGGAGACACTGCTCTGGTACAGTAGGCTGCAAGACAGGGAGTGTGACTGATACCTAGCGTGTCATCTTTAGATAAAAAGTCTACAAAGATGAAAAACAAATAACCACCACTTTATTGGATCTTTTGAGTTACTGCCATTTCCTCTAATGCTCAGCCAGATCTGCACCTGGGTATGCAAACCCAGTGACTGGGACTGAAACTCCCCAAGGAGTGATCACATCTTCCTTTTATTCTCTTAAAGGTTTCTTGAGAGGCCCTGGGTTGTATATGTTACCCAGATGAGCCACATACCAATGAAAATGAGCGACGAGGAGAACCAGGACTGGTTCAGCACTCAGGTAATAATGCTGTTCTTGGGAAAGCATCCACCAAAGCATCCTGATTACCATCTTCTTACCTCAAATAGTATTTATTAGAGGCTTGCCAGGGGCCAGGCGCTGTCAGCTGTTTTGCATGTAGCTACATGTAGCTATGTGCTCAGAGTATTCCCACTTTAAAAATGATAAAATTGAGGTAGAAGAAGTTATATAACTTGTGTAAGATCACACAGCTAACTGGTAGAAGCAGGCTTTAGTTATTTATTTGGCCACACTGTGTGGCATGAAGGGTCTTAGTTCTCCTACCAGGGATCAACCTTGTGTTTAGCACACAGTCAACCTGTGGACCAGTGGGAGTTCCCTAGAAGCAGGTTTTAAACCTTGGCAGTTTGATTTCAGAAACTTTGCTCTTCAGTTCAGTTCAGTCACTCAGTCGTGTCCGAGTCTATGGGACCCCATGAACCACAGCACGCCAGGCCTCCCTATCCATCACCAACTCCCGGAGTTTACCCAAACCCATGTCTGTTGAGTCGGCGATGCCATCCAACCATCTCATTCTCTGTTGTCCCCTTGTCCTCCTGCCCTCAATCTTTCCAAGCATCAGGGTCTTTTCCAATGAGTCAACTCTTCGCATCAGATGGCCAAAGTATTGGAGTTTCAGCTTCAGCATCAGTCCTTCCAATGAACACCCAGGACTGATCTCCTTTAGGATGAACTGGTTGGATCTCCTTGCAGTCCAAGGGACTCTCAAGAGTTTTTGCTCTTAACTAAGGCTTAATAAACTATAGTCAAAGGGCCAGTCTAGCCCAGTGTGTGTTTTTGTAGTTTTATTGGAACACAGTCACACTAATACATTACATATTCTCTATGATAGCTTTCATTCTTAAACAGTAGAACTGCATAGCTGTGATGCACAATTAAAACATTTACTGTGTAGCACTTTACAGGCAAGGTTTACTAAACCTGCCTCAACATGAATCTTTCAATAAATCGTTCAATCTTTCAGTGAATCTCACACTCCTAGAATAACAGAAGGAAGAATTCCCCTGGAATCCCCCTCATTTCATTGTATAGGTGGTGGGGCCCAGAGAGGAGACTGCCTTCTCTGCAAGCATGCTGTTAACGATTAAAAGATTTGTGACCCATGCGAATACAACTGCCTCCTAAGCCTGCCACTGGCTGTGCCATGATTAAGTGGAGAATCCAGGCATCATACTGCTTCCTTTTCCATGCCCATTTCCAAATTCAGTGGACATTCCACACAGTAGTGCTTCTCAATCTTTTTGGTCAAGAAACCACTCTTAAAACTTATTGAGAACATCAAAGAGCTTTCGTTTGTGGAAGTTATATCCACTGATACTTACTGTATTTGAAATTGAATCTGAAAGTTTTAAAATATCTATTAATTTTAAAATAACAAGATAAAGCCAATAAAGGTTAACATCAGAGTGATGACATCATCCCATGTTTAATAGCCTCTGGTAAAACCCATGCTATAAGCATGCATGAATGAGAATGAAAAAGGCAAATACTGTTTCAGAAGTATTATGGGGATCATTTTGACCTTGAAGATCCCCTGAAAGTGTCCTAGGGAACCCCAAGTTTCTTAAAGTACATTTTGAGGAACCCTGACTTAGAGCAACTGCAAAAATAACATTCAAAATGGTGACAACCCTAACAAGAATTAAATCTTAGAAAGGCACTGAATAAAATCACATTCATAAGCATTCTAAGTAGTCTGGAGAATCCTATGAACTTCTTCTCAGTCTGTCTTTGAATAAAATAAAATACATTAGATTAAAAAGGAAGATACTTGTATATGTTAATAAATGTATTTCTATGCACAAAACCCTTGATTAAAGCCCTTGCATGCTTTATTCCCCATTTAGAAGTCCTTTAAATCTATTCTGTGGTAATAACATTCAAACTCCTATAATTTCTACCAGAGTCCTACAATCCCACTTCCATCTGCCAAACTCCTTACTCATGATACCTTAGTCTTCTGATTTTGAGGGCAAATAGTGACTTAGTCCTCTCAAATTCTATTTACTTCTTCATATCTATTGCCTTATCAATACTTCTTAGAAAAATGCCTTATTTCCTTTATAATTGTAAGGTCCCTGAGACCTGGGACTTATTTCTGTCCCTCATGGTTTGTTACACAAAATGCATACTCCATCAGCACTTGCTGAATGATGGATAAATAAAAGAGTAGCTAAATCTCTTGTTTGATACGGGTTCATTTACATTTAAGCTTTTTCTTTGCAGGTCTTGGCCACCTGTAATGTTGAACAATCCTTTTTCAAAGACTGGTTCACTGGGCACTTGAACTTCCAAACTGAGCACCAGTGAGTAAGAGAAATAGTTCACGATAAAGGGCAAGGGCTGTCACTAATAACTGCCCTCAATATAGTCCAGAGCGGAGCAGTAGACTCGCAATCTTAAGGGAAAAAAATGAACCAGATTCTCTAAAGGATTAACAACAATGATAAAGAAAGGAAGAAAAAAATGAAGGAAGTGTCACAATTGCGAGTATATGGAGTGAAATCTTGGAAAAGTATCAGTGTCTCAGTTTCCAAAATCCTATGCGCTTAGGAATCTCTTTGCATTTGCTTTGTTGGCAAAACATAAGAAAAATCAGGACACTTGGGTAACCAATTTGTGTTCAAACTTAACTATGCTATAATTCAAATATTTACTTATCTGTGTCTTTAGAGCCAACGTTACAAAATAAATGAAGTGGAGTCCCTGCTACAATTTCTAAATGATATCTGGAAATACTTTACCAATGGGTCAGTTACAGAGAGGAAATGGGTAGTTCATGCCTTGATGCAAGTTAAAACATTGAGAGTCAATTTCTCCAGAGTATCAAAGGAGAGGCTTTCCACATTCTCTTTGTCTACGCCATGTGAGTCTATGATAGTCAAAGAAGGAACAAGACCTTATTTGTTCAAGGAATTTTTTTCATTCTATTTCTCATATTAGGGCTTGAAAATTTCAGCAAAAAAAAAAAAATTACTCTTCATAGTTTTATAAAAGTTTTATTAAAGTTTTATTAAAGGAGAGCCAGACTGTCATCTGGCTGACTAATGAAAACTTGAGATTAAAAATCCATCTCTCCTCATTTCTTATTCCTTTCTTGGGACTGTTAACTATTTACCATGACTTAATATACATTCATCTATTCTTGCTAAGGAAGTTAGAAAGACAGAAACTAAGACAGAGATTAGTAGGGGCGAGGTGGGAGATTGAGTATCTCCAGATCTCTGGGTAGTTCTAAATGGTAGAAAGTTCTAAATGGTACACTTTCATTTGATCAGGCCAAAAATAAAGTTGATGGCACTAAAACATATTCTCTTAAGTCTTCCTAAACATCTGCCACCCACAAGGCTTGTAGAGGGTTAAGAGCTGACTCATTTGAAAAGACCCTGATGTTGGGAAAGATTGAAGTCAAGAGGAGAAGGGGACGATAGAGGATGAGATGGTTAGATGGCATCACCGACTCAATAACATGAGTTTGGGTAAACTCCGGGAGTTGGTGATGGACAGGGAAGCCGGGCATGCTGCTGTTCATGGGGTCGGAAAGACTCAGACATGACTGAGCGACTGAACTGAACTGAACTGAAGGGATAAGATGAGTCTGCCAGTAAGTCTTTTAACATCCCAGAACAAAAGTATTTGTGCAAGGTCAAGGTTGGGTCTGTGTGGCTGATACCATTTTATTTTGTTAAAGGGGAAAGGGAGCTTTGGGTTTCTCTTTAGGTCTGAAAAGTTTTATATCTCCTCTGTTTCCCTAGTCTATTTCCCACAATGCCACACCATAATTATCACAACGTGGCACCTTTGGTGAAGTCACTGTGTGCCAAGCATGGACTGCCATATGTGAATAAGCCCATGTTGAAGGCATTTGGAGATATTGCCAGGTAATAACAGTCCCACAACCCACAGCTCTCATTTCCCTTCACTGCTGGTCCCCAGACTCTTTACTGCTTTATAAATCATTCAGTCAAGAGCTATTTATTAAGAAACATTCATGTGCCCAGCATGGACATGAGGCTTTATAAGGAACAACACTAACAGAGAACTGATAACAGTCAATTCTACCATTTACCTGCTGCCTTCTTCTTAGTGAAAATACCTTGATGCCCTACTAAATTTCAAGCTTCTTATAAACCAGGGTTCTGTATTGTTTGCCTTTGTATCACCCACAAAGCCTTGACATGCTTTAGAACTTAACCAGTGGGAGGGACTCTCAAGTCATCTGGAACAGGGTTGCAAACTAAGATGCTTTCAGGGTCTGGTGGGATGGGCAGGGGTGACTCTTCCTGTAGGAACTGAGAATCCATACTCATCCTAAAGCATGCACAGCTCCCTAGAGAATCCTGTGCTCATCAAATTAACAGCCAAAACCTTGGCTGATTTTTTTTTCGGATTAGGAAAAAGAAAAACAGTATCTTATTAATATAATAAATAAGCCATCAAGGCTAGACCTGGTCAGATCTGACCCATGAACAGTGATCCATCTTCACTTTCTACCACTGCCCTCCTCCTTTCCTGACCTCCAGATATCTGACCTCCCTTCAGTTGCTACAGAACTCCCTGCCCCTTGCCCATGACTCATCCTTGGTCACCTTTTCTTCTACCAGGATAATCTTCCAACCTGCCTTCCACCTCATGTCACCTTCTCAATTTCCATTCACTCTCCAAAGCTCACCTGAAAGGTCTTTTCTTCATCTCAGTCCTCCCTTGCCCCCAAGACTAAACCTGTCACATGCTTGCTTCTCTTCATGTCTGACCTTTATCCCAATCATGATTAAATAGCATATTGGGTAATATGTGTCTCCCAGTGCAGACCAGGAACTCCAGGTGGACAAGACTCTCATCACTCTCATTCACTGCTGTATCACCAGAGCCTAGAAAAATGTTTCACTTTACAGGACGAGTTGGTTTATAGTCATATGGTTTATCTTACAGAGATTCAGCAGAACTATTTCTTTTAATACTGGAGAAAAGGAAAGTGATGCTTTGGAGTACAGAAAAGCATAAAGCAAAATATGAGTCTCTTCCATATAGAAAATATGAACTTGCCTTCTAAAACATAAGTTAGTGTATTTGACTCCCTCCACTGGGCAAGATAGAAAGAGGTCTTTCAGATATAGCTGAAAATGACAAGGTTGTAAAGTATTAAGTAAAAGAGCAAATGTTCCATGAAGTACCTCCTTTGACCTGATTCTCACCTACTCATGATTTTGTCTGCTCCTCTTGTAGGGCCCTGAAGAAATATGGAGCCCTCTGGAAGGAGGCTTACTGCATGCATCCAGAAATATAATGCAGATGTGCAGGTGCTAAAGAGAAAACCACAGGCCCCAAAAGTGTCACTTGTCCTGAAGACCATGATACCAAACCTCTACAATACCTGACATAATTGCAGTTACAGCCTTCCCCAGAAATGTAATATTAATCAACTAGTCTGAAATTTTTGGGTAGGCCATGTGGTGGTAATCTGTTGTGTTTTACTCCTTCTCCATTCCTGCCCCTGGTCCAGAGAAAGAAGATATATGTGTGTGTGTTTGTGTGTGTGTGTGTATCCACATGATAAAAACCCTTGTAATTCCTCCCCCGCCCCCCAAAAAAAGAAGGTGACTGCCCTCAATATACTTTGCTGATGGCTTCCTTGCCCCTCCTTTCTTGCTATAAAACATTCCATTTGCACAACCCCTCAGAATTCCCTTCTGCTTACTAACTGGGATATTGCTTGATTCAGAAGTCATTGAATAAAGCCAATGAAGTCTTCAAATTTACTCAATTGAATTTTTGTTTAACAGCTTGTTCAATAAGCTTCCCAGAGGAGGACACCAAGGCCTATTACTTTCACAATTTCCCAGATCACTGAGCATGGCGTTAGAATTCAGATGATCAATCCTGTGGATCATGTCTGCCCTCTGCTCACTGGCCACATGAATAAAGATGGCTTAATTGGGCAGGCTCTCATTTAAGCTAAATGACTCATGAGAGTTATGTTACAGTCCTACCTGAAATTCTTCAGTGGATTCCCATTGCTCTTGGAATAAAGTTGCAATCTGCAACCTGGTGATTGCCAACAGCCTACCAGCACTGGCCTTCCTCCAGGAACCCTGCCCCACCTTGTACTGTGGGGCTGCCAGGGCTGGCAGGCGGCCCGGACCTGGGTTTCAGGTTTTCCATGAAATGGTGGGATTCCCCACCCCCATCAGGTAACCTGGAGCCAGCCAATCAATATGCTCCCAGTAAGAAACAAAGGGAGAGCTAAAAAGCCCGCGGATGCCTAAGTTTGAACCAAAGCCTGCGAAAGTTTGTACCAATAAAATTGCTTTGCAAACATGTAACCAATCCGCTTAAGCCAGCTACTAACTGCTTATGCATACCTTATAAATTTGGGTAACCGCCTCTGCTCAGGGCTCTCTGACCCTGTACCACCTGTGTTGGATGCGCTGCAGGAGCCCTGATTCGAGTCAGTAATAAACTTCCCTTTTTTGCGAGTTGCATTGTCTTGGAAGCCTTCTCTCTTCCCGCTCGGGGGTTCGGACATCAGGCAAAACAGTACCACTCCCTCCCTCAGCTTCAGTGCCAGGCAGCCAAAGCAGGCACAAGGGAAGAATGTTTGACCTCAAATAACACCCAAAAACTAAGTTTCCATACCACCCCTAGGGAACCAAAGCATCAGGACATGACTAGAACTTGAATGCCAGAATCCTTTTCGAAGTGAAGGGCTCTCCATCCTAGAAGATCCCAGGTAGAAGCTTCAACCATATCCTATCATAAGCAGACACATTCCAAAGTCCACTAATTGAAACCTGCTCCACCAACATTTCTGCCAACTAATACATCCTCCACAAACTCATAATGTTTGGCTGAACCCCAGATCTAAAACACAGATTTGAGCCCTTCCCATGTCTCCTTGCCAGTTGGCCTCAAAATAAAACTCTTCTCAAAAGCTGGCGCCATAGTATTGCTTTCTACATGCTTCAAGCAGTGAGCGCTTTGCTTGGTAAAGATTTCAGGGAAGCCTCCCCATTAATTCAAGGCCTCCTTGTGATATACTCTGTAGTAATTACTAGAGGTATATTTTGACATCCATTTGTGTGATTCCTTAGTCTTCCACTGTAACCTGCAATATCCATAAGAGTAGAGACTGCCTGACATGATAGAGACACTCAATGAAGACATGCAGAAGGAAGGAAGGCAGGGAGGGAGCTGGAGGGGAGAAAGGAAGGAGGGAAAGAAGGAAGTGTCAGCTACAAATTGGCACTTGACAGCTACCTCTACAAGGAATAAATCAAGTGCTGCTACAGCTGCTGACATTCAATACCCTCTGAAAGAAATTTAGAGTGGAGAACAGGACTGAGGCACTCTGTGCTCTTGGAAAAACTGGCAGGACAGGTATTCAGATAGTTAGATATTTTCAGGAGAAGATTTTATGAGCCCAGTTATTACTGTTCATAACTGTTCATATTCTGTTTATATCCAGAAAAACTCATTAATGGTGAATCTGCTCCTCATGGCTAGCAACAAACATCTGCCAAAATGTGTGCATGACTGCAGGTTCCCCCTTCACTAAAATCATATATGACACTTACCTTATCCCCTAACAAGACATTGAATTTTTTTCAGAGATAAAAGAACAAAACTGTAAGTCAGGCAGCAGTTCCTCTTTGGAGCAGTTTCTCAGAGCTATCAGAAATGCTGTCTCCCAGGCTGAAGTCCTCATTTTGCCCCAACAAAATTTAACTCACAGCTCTCATGCTGTGTCTTTCTTTCAGTCTACAGGAGGAAGGGAGGGAGGGAGGGAGGGAGGGAGGGAGGAGGCAGGAAGAAAAAGCTGTTTGTAAATGTTGCTGTTGTTCAGTAGCTAAGTTGTGTTGAACTCTCTTTGTGACCCAATGAACTGCAGCACACCAGGCTTCCCTGTCCTTCGCTGTCTCCTGGGGTTTGCTCAAATTCATGTCCATTGAGTCAAGGATGCCATCTAATCATCTCATCCTCTGTCCCCCGCTTCTCCTCCTGCCCTTAGTCTTTTGTAGCATCAGGGTCTTTTCCAATGAGTCAGCTCTTCAAAATAGGTGGCCAAATCCTGAAGTTTCAGCTTCAGGATCAGTCCTTCCAGTGTATATTCAGGGTTCATTTGTTTTAGGATTGACTGGTTTAATCTCCATGCTATCCAAGGGACTCCTGAGAGTCTTCTCCATTACAATTGAAAAGTGTCAATTCTTTGGTGCTCAGTCTTCTTAATGGTCCAAATCTCACATCTGTACATGACTCCTGGAAAAATCAAAGCTTTGACTATATGGACCTTTGTTGACAAAATGCTGTAAATGTAATTCCTTCTCATTAGAGAATAAAATGCATTTTATCAAACTTATAAGGAGCATTTCTATATTCTAACTGAATTATTAAAATTCTTAGCAATAGTTATGAGCATCTATTAAGCTGTAAATACTGAGTTGCACCCTTCATAAGTATTATTCCATTTAGTCTTCACAACAGCTCCAAAGGGCAAGTTTTACAATTAATCTCATTTTATAGATAAAAATGTGAGACTTAAGGGAGGCCAAGCAATTTGCCTGATGGCACAGGTAAGTTGAGTATAGTCTCAGACACAGGGATGTCTGACTCTAGTCAACATTCATTAACATTCAAGAAACCAAAAGTAAAGGGGAATTATGTTGCATTACAAGTCATGAGCAGTGGGCACATTTGAACTCTAATGGTTTCCCAGGAGCTGATGGAATAAGCATTAAAGTAGTTATCATTCCACCTCACTAAGAACAGCCACCTGGGGAAGGGAGGATACAAGGAACATGACAGGCACAGCAGCAGCATAGTAAGAATGCCTGATAGTTAGTCTCTACTCCCCAATGTTTAAAGAGTATTATCCAACTCAGAATAATTCACTGGGAGAGAATCAAGCAGAGATTTAACCTTTCAGAAGGGACAGACACTGCAAAAAACATGGAACAATAGAATAGAGAATTGGATTCGAGATTTTGGGAGAACTTAGCATGAATTAAACCTGGGAAAAGTTCACTTTCTGTGTGGCTTTTCTCTGATACTCTATTTCCTTGAAAGTAGTAAAAAATTGCCTACATTTTCAGTTGGGCATTAGATAAGGATGACTGATTGGATTAGAAATCAGGAACCTCAGTCTGAATTTCAGCTCCTCAGTACCCCACCTTGAAATTGGCCATGTCTCTCACACATTGCCTTGATCTGTAAAATAGGTGGGTGCATAATATTACCTGGCTTATTTGCAACACAGCATTGTTGGGACAACCAAATAAAGTAAGGCAAATAGAATACTTTCATAAGCCAGGAACACTCATTCACATGCTGGTTATTGTTATTAATGTAATGAGGGTTCCTCCCATCCTGGACTCATCAAAATCAAGAGCAGCCAGAAGGTCAAATAGATTCACAGGACAGAAAGACACTGAACCATCTTAATGATGAAGAGGGCACATTTCCTTTGATGAGAGGATTATGAGTCACAAGTGAGACAATGATTTCTCCTATTACAACAGGTAACACCTGGGAGTCACCTTCCACTTCTGACTTTATTCAGTCCCTTGGAACCAGCAGCCAGATCTCAAGCCAGAGGAATAGTGAGCCATGGACTCTAGTTTTCCCAACTTCCAATTAACCATGTGAGTACACAACTCTCTAGTGGAAATCATACCAAATCTATCATTTGTTGCTTAAACAATATACTGTAAAGGATTTTCTTGACTATTTCCCTGCTAATCATCCACCTGAAGGACACAGAAAGTATAGATTAAACAAAAACTCTACTCAGAGGTGGAATATACTTGGGTACTTTTTATTTCCCACATTTATTTATGAAACTTTGCATAAACAGTCATGTTGAAAGAATTTACCAGTGAACATCTATCTGTTTAGCCATAATCAAAATTTTGAAGTTACATTTTAGTAAACTTGCTTTATTTTATATCAATCTATCTACCTGTCTAACTATCCATTAATCTTTTTTTATGTGCTTCAAAGTAAATTCCCAGGGGCTTATTTTTAAAATTAAACCTCAGATTATGCAAATAACAAAGTTCATTTCTCATCTTCAATAAAGAACTGTGTAGCAGCTTCATCCTTAAGGGAGTTTTATTGGAATTTTGCTAGGTGAAGGGAATATAACATGGTTAATATTGTGCAAAATAAATTAACTCAGTATAAACCTTCTTATGCAAACATTTATCCTTCATTATTTATTGAGCACTTTAATATTGTTTGAGCACTTATCATGTGTCAGACTTGGACCAGTTGATGTGACCCAGAGACCCA